ACATGGTGGGACGGCAAAATAGGGATGTGACCTTTTGTCGAGTCCGTGCCCGCTCAACGTGCGAGCGTCAACCGCCCAGCCGGCACCTATGAAACGAAGTTGCTGACGGTGACAAAAGACGTGTATCGAGCCTTTCTTCTCGAGAAAGTCCTACCCTCCATTGTGGCGAGATGGCCCAGCGCCAACAAGGCCGGTATGCTTCAGCACGACAACGCTCGCGCACATGTGACCCCGATGGACCCCCAACTCAAGGCAGCCTTCGACGAATACGGCAAGGACGGCTGGTCCTTCTCTCTCGCACCGCAACCGCCAAACTCCCCGGACACCATAATCTTGGACATTGGCTTCTTCGCTGCGATGCAGTCTCTACAACAGAAGAAGTCAGCCAAGACGATTGATGACCTTGTCGCCAACGTTGGTCAAGCATGTGACGAGTACCCGATGGAGAGCCTCGGCCGGACGTTCCTCTCGCTTCAAGCATGCCTTGTGGAGACCATGCGCCTCTTTGGTGACAATGCCTACAAGTTGCATCACATGGGAAAAGAGAAGCTGGCTTGCCAAGGACAGTTACCTCAAAATGTGCAGTGCCCGATGGATGTGTATGACGCGGGCATGCAGAAGATGGTCGCGCAGGATGCTGCCGCTATGGAGCGTACGTTGATGGCGAGGTCGAAGAGGCGAAGAGCATTGACGAGCTGGCCCGCGAGCTCGAGAGAATTGCTCTGTGTGACAGTGATGCGGCGGAAGACATCATGCGTGCAATGGGCGAAGTAGGAATTGAGCCAATATTAATAGATGGTGAGGAGTAAGTACATACATGTGCCGTGTGGGTAGTGTGCAGGTATTGCGTGAAGTTGTAAGGCTCGGTAAGAGGGTTGTCGAGGTAAATCCCCCTCCTGAATCGAATGGCACTGTCAGAATTGCTCTATTCCGCCATTTGATTGGTTCTGCGACAAGTTTTTTGCATGATTTGATTGGACACAGCCGTATCGTTACACCTTGTCAAGTTTATACCGAGTATAATTCTTGAAGTGGCTGTAGTATTATTCGGGGAGGAGTACGCCATTTTTCTGAGTCGCGCAATTATTGTGGGGCGGAAGGAGTACATCTTATCGAAATTCGATAGTCGAACCATTCTGTGTTGCCTGTTTCAGGGGCCAGGGAGGACAAAACCGACGAACAGTCCTTGCAAGCATGATACATACCAACAGCAAGAAACCCTCGTTGGCCAGTGACGTCCATTCGCTTACACAGAACGTGCCAATACATCCACAAGGTTTCGACAGGATATATATCTGGTGAGAAAGGCAGGAGCTCAAAAATGTTAACCTCGTTATCGACGAACCACGCAATCATCGCTTGGCCCGGTGGACAGGCGAATTGTCTTGCATAAACTTGAACAAGGGCCAAACTTGGCATGACCAAGGGTACCAGCTAGTTTTCCAGCGTTTCCGTTTCCATGTAGTCGTCGGCATTTTGGTTGCCGTGCAAGAAGGCCAGCACGGACAGATCCTTCGCCGAACACGCACTCCAAACAATCACTCCGCCACAGCCATTCTGACGCGTCATAAACGCGTCCTGCGCTTTGCGTAGGTCATTCCAATTGGACTGAAAGCCGTACGGTTCATCGAGGTTGAATTTCTTCTCGTCGTATCAGATCATCTCAGTTCAATTGGTTAACTGGCGGAGGTGGCGTTGGGCGTGCGCCCACTGGGCATTGATGTGCCTTGCTTGGAGCTTTGGGATGTGCTTCCGCATCTCGTATTTCATAGCTCGCATTGCTGCAAGAGCCGTTGACATGTCCTTAACAGGTGGTGAAGTTGAGAGTTGTCTTCAGTATGCTTGAAGACCATCTTTGCTTTGGGCCCTCGCGAAGGAAGAGGCAACTGATAGCGCCGATCAGGACTCTGGGTTTCATGCCTTTGTAATTGATGCAGTATGCCTGAGGGTCGGGCAGGAAGCATCGTACCACAATTTTGGAGTATTCTAGCTCCCGTTGGACCTTACGGTTGGAGTATCTGGTCATATGAAACGTCAAAACAGCTCTTCGTTTATCAGGCGTAAGTTGGGCATCTTTGCACAAGCTACAGATATGCAATGATGCTATAATTTTGCTATGTAACCAATTTTACTGATTTGAACAGTGAATTCAGATCGTCCATGCCAATGATTTCCTCTGTGAATTACTGATTTCCCCCCGTTGTCCGAACGGGGTAAATTTGATAATTTCTATAAACTTATGACATTGAATGTCAGAGGGATTTTCAAACTTTTGAACGCATTTACGTACGTTCGGCGAGAGGGGGAGAATCAGTATAGGGTGGCTTTATCCACCTGGCGTGCACTGTA